TTTACAGTGTTAAGATCTTGGATTCGAGTCTCTGACACGCAGCAAAAATCGATCCCTAAATATTCCAGTGTACGTGCCAGACAAGCTTGTTAACCTACTTGCATCAGGGTCCTCACGTTGAAGGCCCCCAGATTCAGTGCTTGATGAGGCTTTAGAATCTGCAATTCATTTCGTGATACACTACTTACAGTGCTATTTGGCAACGATCGTTGGCGAGTGACATCAAAGTTGCTTGAGGCACTGATGCAAGTCAGAAGGAGGGGCAAATGGAGAGGGCTGGGTATTGAAGACGAAGAAATAATCAAAGGTTGGGAAATGTGAACAGTAGCCCACTTATCTCTACTCTCAGGCACTGGTGTCGTGAACTCTGTATTTGCCCCATCTTCGTCCGAACTGATGAAACACTTTCCCGACCATTGTATGGGTACTGAATTGCCACAATTTGTAGCACTTCTGTCTACCACTTCTCTCTCTCGGCTTTTTTTAATCTGTAACTCAAATCACACTTCAGTCAATGACACCCGCATTACCTGCTCTGGTTCCTATCTCATTCCAGTAGAACTACCGTCAATTGCATAACGTTTCACCATGATTTATTCTCTTATTTCTGGCCGTGGATATATCTCCATTTGGAATTTTTGTCACCATGTGCTTCTTAACTTTAATCATCTCCGTTCCCCCTACGCGTTCTACTTTTCGCTCTGTGCCTACATTTTGAGTGTGACCCGTTGGGTTCTGATAATCAGTGCATCTTTCTTCGTCTCACTGTTGGTTCACTTGGTTGGTTGGTTCACGTGATCCGGTTTAATCCCGATTGCTTCTTACGGGTACTTTCATTTTACATCAGCTGGCTTCCTCTATTAGTCTCGACTGACCCGATTTCACGGGTGGAAGCAATCTACGAGTGGCAATCAGGAGGCGAGCTCGGCACAGATTTAGATCCGGTTCAAGATCCCGTGGCGTGTACCATGGACGGATAAGGGATACATTATCAACATCCAGTTACACAATACTTTTTCATATATGGTCGAATAGGTCAAAGTGAAATGCAAAGAATCACAAAACTGGGACGAACTAATCAATCCGCCTGCAAGACCCAAAGAACCTTTGTTTAGGAATGAGGCAATGTAGTTGGGATGAAAATGATCATGATAATTTATCAAATGAATTGCATCTACTGAATTCTTTATTCAGTATGCAAGTGATCACTCAGGGTTTCACCGTTAATGCCGAGGCGGACCCACGTGCGTGCTGTTTATTGCCACAGAGAGAGAGGAAGAGTACCAATTGGTTCTAATTTGACAGATTGCACCTGAGGAGACCAGTAAAGAATGAAAACATAACACATAGAGACCAAATGATGTTCGGAGTGTATCGAAATCGCTGTGTTATTACCACTATAATGTTATACATTCACAATGAAAACGATTTCCAGCGCAAATGCGCAGAACTGTGCTCATCAAAAGTCATTTTTCATGGCCACAAGGTTCATCTTGGAACACTATTCCCAGATCACCGTCCTCGATAACGTTTCTTGTTTGGATGGCGATCCCGCAGGTGATAAAATACAACACAGCTAAAAGTGCGTACAAACTTATTGAGCGCGTAAAAGCATGCGTATTTATGGTACAGATGGAATAGAAGGAAGGCATATACATGATGGCTGGCTGGATCGCTGTCGTTCACATCGATCTTATTGTTAGCCCCGCAGAAAACCTGTTTTCAGGGAGTGTACCGACGCACTGAACACTCTCTTAGTTAGTTTGAGGTTCTTTGGTGTATGTTCGACGTGGGTTCATCTGCACACAAACTAAAAATAATTCCATAGTGCCTCGCTCGTCGCGCAAGATAATCACAGCCACGCTGCCCGTTGCATCGAGCAGGGTGGGTAGAGATAAGTGGGCTACTGTTCACATTTCCCAACCTTTGATTATTTCTTCGTCTTCAATACCCAGCCCTCTCCATTTGCCCCTCCTTCTGACTTGCATCAGTGCCTCAAGCAACTTTGATGTCACTCGCCAACGATCGTTGCCAAATAGCACTGTAAGTAGTGTATCACGAAATGAATTGCAGATTCTAAAGCCTCATCAAGCACTGAATCTGGGGGCCTTCAACGTGAGGACCCTGATGCAAGTAGGTTAACAAGCTTGTCTGGCACGTACACTGGAATATTTAGGGATCGATTTTTGCTGCGTGTCAGAGACTCGAATCCAAGATCTTAACACTGTAAACCACTTGAGCGCACCAGATTTGTCTTCGAGATACGTTTTTCGCACATCAGGCGACGATGAAGCTCGTTCAACAGGTCAGCGCGGGGTAGGTATTATACTCCATTACAGAGCGGAGTCCTCTCTTATCGATTGTATCCCCGTCAACAGTCGTTTATGTGCAGTGCGTTTCAAGTATTCAGTCAGCATCCGGAAGCGCAGCAACACCAACAGGTGAAC